CAAGTCTACTGATGCTGCTAGGCTCCACGCCATTTCGTACATGTGCTACACACCCGGTCCTAGTGACGTCTTCACGAGAGGAGAAATGTCGAAACGCAACAAAGCGCTCGGTGTTAGCTGTGGACTAGGTACTCCAGCCGTTTTTGAAGAGCCTCTGCCGTAGCCGACGTAGATCGAACTCAATGCAGAGCGTGGAGTGTACGGAGAGCAGGCCAGCTTATGGGACGAAAGTGTAATTGCCGAGCAGGCACGCCAACTTTGAGACCTAGCTTCAATGTGGTAGTTTCTGACCCGGCGCGGCCCCAAGCTGGCCGCCGACCCCGTAATTGCTTTGAGATCACCAAGCCATGAAAATGACAGGCTTTGGACAGGACTATCGCAGTCCTACACTTTCACTGCAATATTTACACCAACGGACGCGGTTCAATGTCAGACGCTTGAGTTGATCAGTACCAATCACAGTCTTGCTTTATGATAAAATTCTTTAATTTTCACTGCAACTTTAACTCCTCCAGAGGGGACGTCGACACCGACGCCGACGCCACGGTCTTACTGGGGGCCAATGAGAGCATTACTCAGCCCACCCTCGTCTTCACTGCAAATAAAACCGCCCTGAAAGACGTGAATTGCAAATGTTGAGCGACCAAGTTTAGACATCTACACATGAATTTTGGTCGCTGCCACTATCGCCAAATCCACACTGCGCGGTTGGTGGTCGATAGCGCTCGGGTTTTATCCCGCCTCGGCCGACTCTGCCCGCGATCTGTCATTTGACACGGCGTGGAAAACACGTGGAAATATAGATTGTCGGCCAGCTGCCATGTTGATTCTGCCCAGTGACATGATACCATTGAGGGCAGATGGAATTATACAACAATAATGTCAATGTCCCATCACGTCTAGAACGAACGACATAGGACTCATGCATCTGTTGGCTCATGTCCGTATAAGTAGGTATACTGTGTAAACCGCAGCACTGCATTTTTAACCCACCCAGAGGGTGTCCTATTGCCTACGAGTCCAGCAAAACCTTGTAGAGTTGTAGTGTTGATTTCACGGCAATTTTAACCACCACTGAGGCAACTACTGATACATGTATCAATCAAAAGTGCAAATTGGAAAGATCGCACAGCTCGGTCAACTCAAGAGAATGATTAAGATTCTTCGTATGTGAATATGAGGCAGTAATGTTGAGCAACAAAATCTGTACACATCCCGACGTGCAAGGCATATCGGTTGATCAGACGGGTCGGAAGATCAAAGCCGGGTTCGGATCCGGCTCTCGTATGTTCTATCCGGCATCGAGTGCCGGCAGCGGAAGCAACCTTCGGATCCAGATGAGTCGGGCAGTCTGCGACAGCCAAAGAGAGTGAAAAGCGAGCGCCGGGTAATTAGAACTGATCGTAAGCCGACACGGAACCGGAACTGCTGTCTACGAAATCTCATCTCCGAGCATTGAACGGCAAGCCGGCACCACTTCCCGGATGGCATGCAGGCATGGGATGGGGACCCCCGAACGACGATGGTCGCAAGTCGAGCAGAGAAGAGCAAGCCATCAAAGCTCGAATCAGAAAGCAGTGACATGCAGTTTGCTCACTGAATTGACACAGGAAAACGCATTATCTCTGAGCTCTCAGCATCAAATCTCGAGTGTCTCGACGGCCCGCTCCGATCGTGAGAAAAATTCTGCAAATGTTTCCACAAAAAGACGTAATGAAAACTAGGGAGAAGAAATTTTCGAGCTTGGGGATGGGATGAGTTGGGATGGGAGCTTGGGGCAAATATCCTCTCGCCTCGCTAGTCGCTAGAACGCCGCGCCCGCGGTCCATCATCAGACTTGTTGGAGCCGGGCGGAAACGCCAAATGAGGTAGACCAAGGAACGAAATCCTGCGAGTCACCTTTTGTTGCTCGACTTAGCGCGGTCTGGTCTGCTGTATTGTCACACCAAGGCGCGGCGTACAAGGCTTCTTGGGCGTCATAGGGCTGACAACGACAGCAAATAGTACAAGGCCCTCTTGGTGACAACAATGGCGGTCGGCTGCGGGAGACCGCGGTGCTGCAACGTATCACCCACCGGCGGCCGGGGTACACCGATCGTTTGGGGGGACATGTCCGAGCTGGAGGAACGAGAGAGTCAGACTGCCCAGAGTCGAGACAAACTTGGCAAAGACCGACAAGCTCATCAATAGGATCGGTCGGAAGAAGCTTGTTATCTCTAGCTGAAAATGGACAATGGTGGTGAGAAAAATGTTCGAGAAAAATTCTACCCGCCCAGCAGCTGGGCAGAGCTTGCGGGTGCCGTGACTCTGCAGGAATTATACCATCATGATTGGCCATGCGGAGAGAAAAATCGGAGATTTTCCAGGGAAAAAAAGAGAGGAGGACGAAAAGGGCTCGGTCCAAGCTCGGTGGGAATCGGGTGGCGCGAGGGCGGCGGCGTGGGAGGACTCGCAGACTTTGGCAGCCAGCCATGGGAATAGACACGCTTACGCCGGCCGATCGGACGAACTGCAGGCGGCGGCGAGGGCGTCGACGTGCCGTGCAGCGGAATGGCATGTCATTGCCTGCTTGCTTGCTACAGCTGCTGATCCCCACGCTCCATTTCCCACATCGCTCTTGGTCGACAGGCAAACCCCCTGGACAACGCCGTTGTTACCCGTGGCCGGCCGACTCCCGAATCGCACTACCAGGGCGTGATGGAGCCTCTCAGCGTGAGACCATCGCGTCTCCATCGGCCAACCCGCAACGAGCGAAGCCAAGGAGAGGGTCTCGAGCGAGGCCTTTGTGTGTGTGTGACTGTGTGTACGTGCGAGTCTGTCCAGCCGCCAGCGCGGTCCACTGCTCGAGATTTTTCCTACCATGGCCACCGTAACCGGTCGCGATGAGTCGACGCGGAGTGGAACCTGTTGGGTAAGAGAAGGCCCGTATTGTATTTAATCATGCCATGAGCTTTTCGTTCGGGGCGGCACCTCTCCTGTTGTCCCCCCAGGTTTTCGTTTGCACATGCGTCCGGTGATTTCTGGAGAAGCGAATCAACAGGCTTCCTTCGTCCCCTCAATCCTTTCGAGTGTGCTCATTGCTTCTGGCCGCGGTCGACGAGACTTGTCGCTCTAGTCCGTGAACGAAGCGTACCCCGTGCCGACTTCGATTTACCAAGCCAAACACAGCCATCACCATGTTCGGCTCCAAGGAAAAGACTCCTCAGACGAGTGAGGGCGAGGTTACTCCCACCAATGCCTCCAAGACCGATTTGGAGAATGGCGAGACGGGTGGTCTTCAGCGAGACCTCAACAGTCGTCACCTGCAGTTCATTGCCATCGGTATGTCACTTTGATCGAGCTTCGCCTTGTGCAGGGGCCGCAGTTGTTCTGACACATCGTCGCAGGCGGTACTATCGGTACTGGTCTCTTCCTCGGTAGCGGTAAGGCCATCGCGACATCCGGCCCTGTCGGTTGCCTGATCGCCTTCATCTTCATCGGCTCCATCGTCTACTCCGTCATGACGGCGCTTTGCGAGATGGCCACCTACATTCCCGTCCCCGGTGCCTTCACCTCCTATGCCTCCCGGTTCATCGACCCCACTCTCGGCTTCGCCATGGGCTGGATGTACTGGTTCAGCTGGTCCATCACCTTCGCTCTCGAGTTGACTGCTGCTGGTGTCATTATCCAATACTGGAACGACAGCTTGAGTATTGCCATCTTCATCAGTGTCTTCTGGGTCGTCTTCACTGCCCTCAACTTCATGCCCATTCGCATCTTTGGTGAAGTTGAGATGTGGTTTGCCAGCATCAAGGTCGTTACCATTGTCGGCTTCATCATCTTTGCTATTTGCATCAACGCCGGCGTCGGCCAACAGGGGTACCTGGGCTTCAAGTACTGGGTGAGCCCGGGTGCGTTCAACGAGTCCATTGTTGAGGGTTCCGTTGGCAAGTTCATCGGTTTCTGGTCCGTCCTGATCACCGCCGGTTTCAGTTTCCAGGGCTCCGAGTTGGTCGGTATTGGTGCTGGTGAGACCAAGAACCCCGAGAAGAGCGTCCCCAGTGCCGTCCGCTGGACTTTCTGGGGCATCTTCAGCTTGTTCGTGGCGACTATCTTCTTCGTTGGCATCATTGTGCCGTCCGACAACCCATCGCTTCTGCTCGATTCTCAGGATGCGTCGGCGTCTCCCTTGGTCATTGCTGCCAACTTGGCTGGTGTTAAGGTTCTCCCCGACATCATCAACGCTGTGCTCCTGACCGCCGTTCTCTCCGCCGCCAACTCTAATGTCTACTCTGGCTCCCGCATTCTCGTCTCGCTCGCCAACGAGAGGTGCGCTCCTCAGTTCATGACCTACACCAACAGATTCGGAACTCCCTACTTCGCAGTAGCCACTACATCTGCCGTCGGTCTGCTCGCGTACATGAACCTGTCGTCCAACGGCGGTGTTGTCTTCGACTGGCTTTTGAACGTTACTGCCGTCGCTGGCTTCATCAGCTGGTCGTGCATCAACATCTGCCATCTGCGCTTCATGGCCGCCCTCAAGGCCCAGAACATCCCACGTAGCAGCCTGCCTTACCTTGCGCCACTGCAACCTTACCTTTCTTGGTACGGTCTGTTCTTCAACGTCCTCATCATTCTGACAAACGGATTCGCCGTCTTCATCGAATGGAGCACCAGTGACTTCTTCACTGCGTACGTCAGTGTCCTCCTGTTTATCGTCCTCTTGGTCGGTCACAAGATCTTTAACCGCACGATGCCCCTGAAGGCCATCGATGCCGATGTTACGAGTGGCACTCTGCGATCGCAATCATGAAAATGACGGAGAACGATATGAATGAGCAAGGACGCAGATCAAAAAGTAATCCGATGTAACATTAGTAGAATAGTTGTAATGATGATACCCATGAGTTCAACAAATGCAGCCTAGAGACGATTCCAAGTGACTGATGAGTAGCTCCGTTCCGAGAAGATAACCACCAACCAAGAGGATGCCGGTGTGACTTTGGAGGACCCCAGGTAGATCAAGAAACGATGCTGTAAAGACCAACAGCACCACCAAGGCCGATGGCAACGCCTCTTCCCAGATTATACAAGCCCCATTGATCCACGAGAGATTTGGCCCCCTCCTCCTCTTCCTGAGACAGCCCAATGGCCATGATGCCCACGTCCTTGGCTTCCTCGGCTTTCTCGAATAGCTTCTTGTTGATGCTGACCATGAATAAGCCGGTCCAAGGGACCATCGAAAAGCAAAGAGCACCGGCAGCGGCCAGTAGCTTCGACTTGCTGGGGAGGTGGCGCACGGCATAGGCCATGTACCAGTAGCTCAATGCGCAGAAGAGGGTCGGTAGCGGGAAGACCCGACTGGTCCGCTTGAACATGTTGGACCACTGTCGTAGCATGAGGGGAGTGGGCGATTCAAGGAGGCGGGGTACGACAAAGAAGGAGAGGCCCAAGTTCAGGCCAGCGAGGGTTGTATTGAGGAAGACGGTTGACGTCTGGATGTTGCGGAGCGGGTTGGGTTGGGAAGACATGGTGAAAATTGTTGTCTTTGCATGTAGCTCGCTCCGAGTCGGTTCGAGAACTGTTGGCGATAAAGATGCTGACGAGGTTGAAGATGAGAAGATGACATGGAGAAGTTGAGGAGGCTGAGAGCGACAAGGATTGCAGGTTACGCTCGAGCTTGAGGTCAGACCTGCAGGCAGGAGCAAAGTCCGGTCCTGCAGTGCGGGACGCGGGAAGCGGCGGGGTTCTTGCCAAGTGGGGGCAAACAGTTCAGTGGCTGCAGGTGGCAGGTGCAGGTCGCTCTGTGGGGAAGACCGGACCTGTCTCCCCACTACCTACCTTATCCGATCGATACCTAGGGTACGTACCTCGTCAACGGCACTGCTCAATGGAAGTTCAATCCAGCTTGACTTTACCTCACTGACTTGAACAGATACATGAAGCGGCAAGCCTGGCTCAGCTGATTATTTCTGATGTTCTTGTCGTATCTAAGATGTTACAAGTGGGCATACTAGCAAGTGACCAGAATCTTTATTGATTTGAGGTCAAGTAAAGTAGAGGACTTTACGGGAAGCCATCACGGATGAAAAGTCGGCCAAAGAAAGATTATTTGCCTCTCGTATACAGTTAGATCAGCTTTCACCCAGAGAAACATCAGCTTTGAGTTAGTATTCTATCTTGAGGCGGTTGCGAACTTGCAGTCTTGAGGGTCTGGTGCTACAAGAGCAGCCCTGTCCAACAATGCTTTCAGATGAAGAAGAAAGTAATCTATATACACATCGAGACCTCTAGAGACTCGATGAGTAAGATCCATATATGCGATCTGTGCTATTTTTCATGTAATCATGGCATCCAGGCTATTCGCAACAAAGTTTGCCAGCCGTCAAATTGTAGTCCCACTTGTGACTTCCGACTCCCGACCGAACATAGAGGCTGGCCGTGGGATCGTACTTGTCTTTGATCTCAAGCAAGCGATCATAATTGCCACCATAAACGTCCTCTTGGAAGTTGCTGTTGAATGGATTGGCTTCATTGATGTACGCGCCCGCCCCCGGCGCCCACTTCCGCCACACGGCTTCCTTATTCTCTTCGGTTCAAGCCGCAGGAATGGCCAAAGCACCCTCTGGTGTAGTGTCAGTCGTGTTGATATACGCCCCAGAGCTGATGAGGCGGATGTAGGCGCTTCTCCAAGCAGGAGTCAGAGCGTCTCGCATGCTCGCCTCGACCTGACCGGGTCCCAGTCCACCCTAAAGCCCATACACCAGTGCAGCAGCACCCCCTTCCACTTAAGACTTAGTGATATGTTGCGGACGGGATCGAAGCTTTGGCAGTGGAATCTCAGTCAGCTCGCTGCGGCCGAGCAGGCGGCTGGAGATGAGACTGATCGGTCCAAAGGGACTTGGGAGTGGCGGGGTCGTTGAGATTTTCGACAAGCGAGACTTACATGGAGAGAACGCTCGGCTCCGTGGTAACTATTGAGAGAGTGCCGTTTCTACTCTGCAACATGCGTACTCAAACCGGGTTTAGAAGGGAAGTTAAATCATTCGCCGTGGTATTGTGCCCGAAAAGAAAAAAGCTTTACTCCGATTCCTTGAACGACGCCGCTGGAAAACTTGGCGAAACATTTGACCATTAGAGCCTTCCGTTAATATTATAGAATCTTGCTTATTCTTGATAGTAGTAATACGTCGAGGAAGCTGGGCTACTTTGGAGTTCTATTCGAGGAGGTAGATCGGAACTAGTTGCCGTAGAAAAGATGATGATAGATTTTTGTCACCTAGAGACACATCAGTAGATAGAGTTCAGGCCCGCCCGGAAAACGTGATGTTTAACACGCAATGCAGCTACAACGTTTAGTGGCCTCGGATCTCCCGTCACTTTCCATCCTTCAGTGATGTTGTAGAACCTATGAACGTGCTGAAGACTACCCCATTAGCCCGACAGCGTCCCGTCTATGGGTGTGCCAGCTACTCTCGAAATAGCTGCGAGTGCGCGCCGACAATGCATGCACGATTGATCGAAACCGCTCGATTGCGGCGTGTGGTGTGTGGCACATTTTCATGTTCATTTGTGCCATATCTCATGGACAATTTCAGAGAAGTCGGCTATATCTCGATTGAAAAAAGCAAAACAAGCTTTTTGACAGATTATCATTATGGCCGCTAGCAGCATAATAAATGTGGCATAGGTGTTGTTCTATTTCTTCGAGAAGTCTGCTGGTGCTGCAGCGGATCTGTTTAAACAATTGATACGCGTATCTCTGTCCGATTCGACTCTGATACTAATTAAGTGCCTTACAAGGGTAATGGCTGTATGTGGTTAGGTTTACCTAAGTGAGGCGTGCCCTCACTTAGGTAGGTAACTTACTTTCGGTGACTGACCCGAATGTCCAATGTCATTTCGGCGTCCGCCCTTAGTGCATAAGAAACTCTACACTATGCTGGTCATATCTTGGTGTCGCTCGAGAGCGGCGGCTCATCTCATCTCCGTATCATTGCTTATGAGTCCAAAATCACCTATCCTTCATCGATTGGCAAGATCGGAATGATGCTGGATACCTACTCAGGATGAAGTTGCGGATGCGCTAAGGGAAAGGGGCAAGTGAGCATTGATCGCACTAAGAACTACCTTTTTCTAGGGCTATTGTAATCTCGATGCCGGCAAAGCTTCCTTCGTGCTAGAAGGAGAATAATATAGAATGATCCATGTCCGACCCAAAGCGAGGATGGCTCTCGTGATTGATGTTCGCGGACAAGTGTATCTGTCTGCATTCGTGGACGTCATTTCCCAGATCGACGGACTCAAATTTTCTACCTCTATTATGAACGAAGAAAGCATTAATTGATGAACTAACAACTCGACCGGAATTAACGCGAGGAGAGGTTTCAAATGTTTCCGGTCATGAGCAGAGCTTCCTCGAGATCCTTCCTTTTTTTTTTTTTTTTTTTTTGGCGTTGGGGAAGTGTAGCTCACGAGCAGACCGCGTCCTGTAACTATTTAAGAAGCCTGAGAGCCCAAGTCGATAGCATCCAACAGCAACTCTACCGTTAGACTCACATTTCTACCGCAGTCACATATCACCAGTCACTCAGTAAACATGCGTTTCCAGCCCGCTGCTGCTTTCGCTATCCTAGCGGTCACCACCGGTATCGCAGCACCGCTTAGCTCCTCCAAAGCCTCCATCGATCAAGTCGACGTCGACATCCAAGAGAGGTACAGGCCCTGAGGGATTCCGAGCAAACCGGGCTTTACTAAATGAATTTATCTCGGAATTCGCAGGACCTTTCGTCAGCTGCAGAGGACGTCACTGGGCTCGTAAAGTAAGAATCCCCCACTGTATACGTTATGTCCCAGGCTTCCAGCTGACTTTCGCATCAGACGTATCGAAGGGCAGTACCAGTTCAACTTTGCAAACACATTCAGAGGTGCCAGGCACCCGGTCAGCGGCGTCATCTTGTCGATGGTCTACAGAGCGGGGAGCCTCTTTGTCACCATGCACAACACCCTGACTCAGGACATTTCTGCCTACATCGAGGAAATCACCCAGGGCGGAGACATTATGGCCGTAGCGGTGGAGGCCGGCAAGACGGTCGAGTGGACTCTGAAGCAGGGCACGGATTTCCTCCTGGGGGACAGGGGCAAGTTCTCCTGGAAGACGAACTACTAAAGTGCGAATAGTCTAAGAGTCAAATTAGGTGCTTGGTCTCTGTAGAGGGATGTTCAGACAGGAAATTGGATCAGTGACTCGAAAGACGGAGGTTTCTATTAACTGGCTGTTCCAGCAATGCCCAAAATCGCGCTACTTCTTGCTTGGTGCACGGCAAAACTAGCCGAAATTGTGCAATCAACATACATGAGTGAGCTATTTTGTAGAAGTCATTATCTTACATGCGCTCAAGCACTCCTCTGGGCACTGTTTGTCTGCGAGGAGACTCTGCTGGGTCTGTTATATCAACGGCTCCAGGGATTACCCTATGCCCACGTGGTAGATATAGGGGATATTTGCTAGCCCGAAACTGAATGTTTTGCGATCTGCCTGGCAGAACGCGATTGGGGCTTGTTTTCCGAGCGGACGGCAGACCCTCTTCCGGGATGCGGCCAAGATCCGGAGGTCTTGTTGCGGCGGAGCTTGTGGGGGGGGGGGGGGTTGAGTGGGGCTTCTGGGGGAGTTGAGTTCCGTTTGCCGGCACCTACCATTGAGGCGGCTGGAGCTGCGACGAGGGCTCAATCGCGGACCGCGGACGGGTTCTTTTTTTTTTTTTTTTTTTAGCAACTAAGTGCTCAGGAGTTCAGATAGCAGGAAAGTTGGCTTCTTTCGCGATCTGCTTTCTAGAACCGCCAAAGCTAGTGACGACACTATCGATGAATCTGGTGATCGTCAGAATCACGTCCTTTCCTGCCTCTTACTGTCTTACCTCTTCGTCGACAACTGACATGACGGAGCCCATGGCGGGTGAAACTTTAGCTATCTTAGTCCCAAGATTTCCATCGTCTTTGTCTCCTGGGTAACCCCGAGTTAGGAAGTAGTGAGAAGTGGGTAAAAATAGGGCTCCGACGGCGACGGGGTTTATAGAAAGAGCCCGATAGTCCGAAACATTGTTAGAGTCTTTGTAAAGGTAAAACCCTTAAACAAACCGTCGACTCGTGAATAAATTAGCTCGGAGCTCTCGTCGATTCTAGCCATTCCATGGAGACAACAGTATATCATAGGAACGCATCTTCCGTACTAGATGCCGTTTCGCTCGAGGGAAGCGGGGCGCTGTTCGGAATACGCGTGTAAGGCAAAATTCGAAAAGACACTGATCAAGCCAAGTCCCAACGCTCGAAACACAGCCCCGGCCTCTGAGTAAGCCTCTGGATCCATGGGAACTTGAGAAGATCAAATAAATCAAACCTAGCACATCACAACAGACCGTTCCCACTGTTGTGTCTTTGATAGACCCCCTGACAACCCGCGCATTTGGCCTTCCCTTACATCATCTTCCGCGGCGCACACATAATTATCACCATGTCAAAGCAGCTGCTCGACCGGCTCGCAGGCCGCCGAACACACCGCAAGTCGAGAAACGGCTGCAGCGGCTGTAAGAAACGCCACATCAAATGTGATGAGACTCGACCGGAATGCCGGAACTGCATCATGGCGGAGCGAGTATGCTCCTACTTGAAAACGGAGCCAAACGACAGCTCCTCAGCCGGATCCTCCACAGCAGCTATCGTCTGCACCGGCATTGCAACACCCAGAGGAATCAGCGCTGACCGGTGTTTGGCTATTCCCAAAGACCCCGGAGAAGTGTACTCACGTACCGGGCAGACTTTTACAGCGAGCCACATGGCTTTCCTTCACTATGCCCAGTCAAACATGTCAGAGTTCATGGCCCTGACCGGGAACATACGGCCTCTTATCGACACTGCGATTGAACACTCCCTGACGGCCCCGTATCTTCTGGACCAACTCCTCGGGCTATCATCACTTCATCTGTCAACGCAGAATGGGCCCAAGGCGTCCACGTACTTCCACCAAGCCACAGAGTTACAGACACGAGCTTTGGGTTTCTTCAACCAAACAAAAGAGCACATATCGGACACGACATACATCCCGACTTTCGTATTTGCGTCTCTTTTGGGCATACATGTTCTTTACGAAACGCTCCAATGGCACTGTGGCTCTCTCGCAGACTTCATCGATGCTTTTGTCAATTACTCGCGTCTTCATCGAGGGGTACGATCCGTTACCGGGAAATACTGGGAAGAGATACTGCAATCTGACTTGAAGCCGCTCTTGTTCATCGTGGACGTCATGAATAAGGAGCCAGTCAAGACTCCAGGTCCGGAAACGAAGCAGCTGAAAGAATTCTTGGCAAGTGTCCCAACACCTTCTGCGTCGACAAATGTTTGTATCACGGCCCTAGAGAAGCTTCAATGGGTTGTCGACCTAGCTGGAGGGCAACCGTCAAAGTTCGAAGTCGGTGTCCACGCGGTTATGGCCTGGCCCCTATGCATCCCGGACGAGTATATCGAAGCACTGCACCAGCATCAACCGGAGGCTTTCGTCGTCTTGGCCTACTACGCTGCGATGATACATAGGTACCGGCGGTTCTGGGCATTCGGTGGTTCTGGCGCACCCATAGTCCATTTGATATCGAATAGTGTCGGGTCCTTCTGGCTTGGCCATTACAGGTTTTAATAGAAAGTTGAACCCTTGACTGCATGTTTATCGAGCCCTTCTACCCAAGACTCTATACCCTTGAGAAATATCCCTTCTCCCACATGTCAATCACCGCCGGCAAGCCGTGATGATCATCATAATGCAATCTGTTAGTAACTTCAAGGTAAGTCAGCAACGGATCGCAGGCTATTCACCCGCAAGACCATCCCACCGGGCCAATCACCCAGCGTAAGCTCCGCTCCCGACTCAGGCCCCCGTCCCAAGCAGATGGTACGAGTCCCTCTCTGGAGAAGAGGCATGGATCCATGATCATCCGGGCTGCGTAAGCCATGCGACGCTATCATGTGACTTTTCAGTGTACATGTTGCGACCCGAAGTGGAAGTTGGAGTTGTGCTGCAGCGAGGCTTATATGCAGTAACTCATAATGTTGATCGAGATGTTGTCTCTTGACTTCCTGCCTGGCCTCAGTATTAGCTATGTGTTGTTCTTCGGATTCTTAAAGTCTCTGTGTAGGTGGCTACATGCAATAACACCTTATGTGATGCATAGGATCGACGTGTCGGTCGATTATCTTCATCCTGTCGATGGGTCCCGTCTCACCTGAAGGAGAGTTATCGAGGCGGAATCAACCGTCTCAAAGAAACTCTGAGCGAAATCAGTTCGATGCTTCCAGATTCATCTGAAGTGAACATGGATCCACTGCTCTCCCCTTACGAGTAACTCGCATCTCACTTGAGATCAGTAAGGTTCACAACAACTATTCTAACCATGACTCAGTAATTCCGGAGAGGGATGTCATTTTCAAGTGCGGCATTATTCGAAGGGAACAAAGTCTTTAGCAAGGTTATCTGTCCGAGAGCTGAAAACGTGGTCTCCATGGGATGAACAAAATCTAATCAATTATGTGAAATTAATTACTTTCAACTGAATCGAGGTCTTAGCCCAGGCTGTACGACATCAAGCCTTCCTTCCCTCCAGATGTCAAGTTAATCTAGTATCATTCGGTTTTAGAGAAACAGTTAGTTCACCAATTTCACAGACGAAAGCAGTCGGGGAAGCCATGCGTGTCTCCAGCCAGCAACTGAGTCAAGTCACGTCACTCAAGCACGTTAGCACACAACTAGGAGACCCGCAGAGCCCGTTTCTAGAACATCTCTCACCCACGCGCTTGGATCAAAGATCCCTCAAACCCAGGCGCGAAGCTTAAATATTGGGGATCTTAAAGGGGGACGATCCTCACCCATCTCACCCTTTTGGGCCCAAAACGCGGGCAGCGAAAGCTTAGCACGCCCGCATTGGGAAATTCTGGTCCCTCGACCCAAACGACCGGGACCACCATACGAACAACCACCAAAGGGGGAGTCATGTTTCTAAGAGGTGGAACACGCTATCGTCAGCTTCACATTGCGCGAATATGCTGACGAGGCTGTTTCATGTACCCTGAGCACTGCCGTCGGCGGTGCCGTTTTACACAGAAACAGTAGAAACATGCGTAGAAACGAGCTAAACCAACAGCTGGTCTATCGCTTGAGATCGTGAGAGCGAGAAGACTACTTAAGCACGACAAGAGTCCAGGCATGAAGTGCTCTTTTCTTCATCAATCGCATCAATCATTGTATATAGTCCTGGTAGACTAAAGCCACTCACTCACTCACTGATCACCACTCTCGCTCTAAAAATCAATCTACTTTCAAGAACAACTCCCGCATCCTTCATCATGAAGTTCACAACCACCCTCGCAGCCATCGCCGCAATCGCTCTCTCAGTGTAAGCCAGACTACGCACCCACCCACCAAACAACATATCACCCTGAACCCTCACAACTGACATCACTCTCTCCCTCCACAGCAACGCAGCAGACCGCGTCCAATGCGCCGGCACAGTCGACACGGCCCCCAACAAAGGCCGCTACGAGCCCTCCGGCTCCCTGACCGCCAACCTCACCCAGGTCGCCTGCAAGAGCGGCACCATTGACGGCGCGCTAAAGGGCAACCAAAAGTGCTGCATCTCCAACGATAAGGCAGCGTTCGGGTCGGCGTGTGGCAAGGCCGTCTTCCCGCCCCAGTTCAAGACTGGGTTCAAGGCTACGTTCCAGCCTTGCTGAGCGATATTGTCTAGTCGGTTTTTTGGGTTGCGTGGGAGGTTGGTTTGGGCAAGGAATTTTGTGTTTTATGATAGCGAAGCGAGTTATGTATTCAAAGAGTTGGATAAGGGATTAGAAATCAGCATTGTGTTGCTTTCATTGCAGCTTGGAAGCCCGTGGATACTCGAGTTTGGTGCTTGCCGTTGAGGTTGGATGTCGACAGCTATTCGTACTTCCTCCAGGACGCACACGTCTACATGTTACATGAGAGCCATGGTTTCTGCAATCGTGGAGCCGAAAAGTCCTAGACTATACCCTACGCCCATAATTTCGACCAGCAGGCCGTGGACGGTATCACGCCTACAGCCAACTCGTGAGCGGAGGTGGTTGAATCAAGAATACTAGCACCGCCAAAACCACATCTTGTTACCCTTGACGGGCAAATCCTCGCACGCCAAGTATTTAGGTACTAGGTAGGTGGAAGTACACAAGCAAGCAATCGAGTTCACATTGGAAAAGAAATCAGGGTGGGCTTCGTCTCGCATCTCAGTCCTTTTGATTGTGTTTTTTTCCCCTACTAATCCCATCTTGATGGGTTCGTTTTCAAGCCTGACCCTGCCGGTATATCTAGATCCTGCGCCACCCTGCTTTTCCGTCGCATATCCAATTGAGAAGCGGAATAAGATGGCATGGCGCGAACCTCAATATCAACTCGGTATCTTCATCCATACAATCCCCCATCCGTCCACCCTATCCAAGATACCGGGTTTCCTGCGCAGGGAAAGCTGATGGACCACGTGACCAACCTCGTTCGATGTCCTACCCCGGTATTTTGCTACACGAAAATTACCAGAAAAGCCCTCCAACTATGTCAACCCATCAGTCGATCGACGATGACATGATTAATAAGGCTGTGCTGGGAACACTAGCCTCAACCGCCCAACAATGCTTCAGCATACCTGAGACGTGGCAGTGCCGCGGTAGGGACCAGTGAAGCGAATTGCCAATGTGCCATTCAAGCCGGAGGAGGTTGACCGGGAGCCAATACTTGACTTTCAGGTTCGAGCTGGCACATCGCATCCGCAAAAGAAGTGGAAAGAAAAAAGAACAAACGCCGCCCCCCATCCCAATCCAATCCAAGATCACACAACTCCGATCCAAACAGGCTTCTTCCTGCAATAAAGACTCCCTGAGACGTGACAGGCACCAAGTCTCTGAGGGACTTGTTCGATGCAGAATGACCAGCCCGGGTGCGGGGTGGATGACCTTTCGTGTTCACTCGATGTAGCTTGGGAAACAAGCAAACTTTTTGATGTACAGTATTCGTCGCTGCGTCGTATTCTGATGAAAGAATGATCGGGTCGCTTGACAGCGTCAACGTAAACAATGGCGGCGTTGTAGAATGCCGTGCTTTGAAATATGCTTCCCAGCCGGGAACACGTCGTAACGTCATTTAGAAACTTTTGGCTTTTCCCACAAAAGCGTCGGGTATTTTGGTTGTCGGTTCCATGTATCGTAATTTTCTCGTTCTTCGGCCTCCAGCCCCTTTTTGCGTCCCGTCGATATCTGCAACCTCGTCCATCAGTGTGCCCTCTAGCAACAGAACGTAGTCGCCGGTAACTTCCAGCTTATCTCTCCCTCTCTCGTCCAATGAGATCAGTTGACCGTTATTGGCATCCCACAAAACCTCGTACATCAACACCCTAATCGCAAGGAATAACAGACTTCTCGGCCCTGGCTCGCATGTGAGTAGCGTGAGTCTCGAGGCATCGGGCCATCAAGTGAGTGACTGGCCAGACAGCAGCTTTATCGAGCATGTAGGCCGTGACTCTGAGAATTTTGGCGGCGTGGCCTGCGTGATCGTCCATTTGCATTCTTGTATCGACGCCTGCGATGTTTCCTTGTACAAGCTCAAGGTTCATCTTCATCTCAGCAGAGGCCAACACCTCCTGAACCTTGCCGAGCAACTTAACATCTTCCTCCTCCAGCAGCATAATTGCAGGGACTTGCGATAGGTCGACCTCATCCTGACCGAGAATTCCCAGGTACCGGCCTACTCGATCTTGCAAAGTTGCGACCCATTCAGCCAGAACCTGAGCACAATCAAACGCGCACATGGCTGACTGTAAAGGCAACTCTCTGCTGGAAAAGTCCGCAAATGTGACACCTAGCTTGTCGGACATAGCGAGCGAGTCTGCTGCGTAAAAGGCGGCCTTGCGAAGATGCTTCTCTCTACGAGAAGTGGACCGATTTGGGGCAGCCTGGGCCTGCGGGAATTTGACGGCAGAAAACTCTGGAGATGACGATGACTGGGTCGCCGGGGACTCGACGAATACGGAGCTTGAGACCGAATTATCAGAGTGATCTGTGCCTGTCGATTCCGGGTTAGAGGCAGGTGAATGCTCGGCGTGCTGGACAATTTCGCTGCCCCGGGATAGCTCGTCAGCCATGGCATCCCAATCACGTTGCCAAAACTTCTCCTTCGAGCGGGCGAGGTTCACGAAAAGTCGTACATAGGCCAAGTCGAGAAGCGGAATGGCATCGGCAGACAGCGGTCCAAGCCCGAAAGGGTTCGGTCTCTCAAGGCTATGGTTCGGATTGCTTGCCCAGGCTGCCTGCCAGGCCTTCAGGGCTGGCTCAATGTGGCGATGCATCTTTTCGGTTTCCTCGTTGGTCCATACCTTGTTGTGATGGCGCTGACGGGTCTCCCAGATGTAGTTGTGAAGTGCGTTGATCAAGATGAGACAGCCAAACGTCGACGGCTTGAGATCGCTCTTGAAGTCGTTCACACCACCTTGCCCGATTATTTGTTGGCCATTCTGGAAGGCAAGCTGCTTCTGCTGCTTCTCGTTAGACCTGAGTAGGTCGCCCAAGGCTTCGTGGAATGTCATCCGGTTGTGGTTCGCGGCACGGACACCACCCTTGGCCGCGAAGGCCGTGGCACTCTCGGCAGCGAAGAAGTCCTCATCGCAAGGCAAGTCGAGTAGGATCTCCGAGTTAGTCAAAGCGGGAGTGTGGTTGTATGCCGCAACCAGAAGGCTTGAGAGGATGAAGACGACGTAAAGGGTACGCTTGCGTTCCTCCATCACCTTCCATTGGAGCCACTCCGCATGCTCCTCGGAGTCCGACCGAAGGCCGCTCCACGTATCGTCATGCATGTGGGTATCATGAGCTTCTGTGGATTCCACGCGAATGGGGCGGAGCAAGTCGGCAGCTTGGGCCAAGCTGACAAGAGCAGCACAGTGGGTGGAGGCGATATCGCTGGCCGTCTTGTCTCCGCAGTTGTGGCCGTAGACGACATTCAGGAGCATGGCTTGCACCAACCATACCGGGGTGTGAACAGAAGATTCCTGGTTGTGAGACGTCGGGTCAGATGCTGGAGCTCTCCGTAAGTCGGCCTTTCTCACGTCGGCTTTCCGCCTTTCCTCAAGGTACAGTTGAATCATTTTCTTGGCCATCTCGAAAAGTTCTCGAGACTGGATGTGGTCCATTTCGTACAAGGCGCCAATGGCAGACATGGAAAGAATGAGACACCCGCTTCCACCAACAGTGTTGGATCGGTTGGCAGCGGTGGGTGGCATCTCAAAAGTCAAAGTGGGAATGTGCAAAAATGGCAGATGAGGGTGGAAGTAACGAAGGTAAGCGCCAACATATCGTTGTAAGTCTTGAGTGCTAGGTAAATTCTTTACATGGTCTGGAACACTGTTGGCTGTGTTCTGAAAGCCCGGCGACATTGGCGAGCTTGGAGTCGCAAATGAGTATCTCCGTCCACCAAAGGGAGAGCACTGCGAAAGAGCACCAACGATGGCACCTCGGGTCGTTTCCGTAATGGTGGAGACGGGCGACACACCGTGGTTACCGCCGTTCAAGGACGAGGGGGTCTCTGGCCCTCCGTTGAAGTTGAGCGCTTGGTTGAGGTTTTGCGTGTTGAGTCCGGAAACCATCGACGGACTGAGGGAGCTAAGAGAGGGAGGCGGCGTCGAGAAATAGGCATCGTTCATTTTCTGCGCAGCAGGTTGTGGTGAGACGGGTGCTCCGTTTAAGAGATCTGGGAAGACCGAACCATTGAGATCCATGGCAAACGGGTTCGGGACCTGGGGAGGACCCATAACGGCCGGTTGCCACATTGAACTTGTTCCTGCCGGAGCAGGATGATGATTGGAGCCGTCCACCATTACATCGCTAATGCCACTTTGGCTGGTGGTGCTAATTGCCGAGGGACTCGAGCCGTCTACGGCGTTATCGGCGCCCTGAAAAGACATCTGGTGCTCGAAGCCGGTCAGCCAGTCGAAGCTGTCGTCCAATTGCGTCGCCGACATATCGCCGGCCAGGCCGTGGGGAAACGGCGAAGCTTGGTCCATGGCCATGGATTGCGGCGAATCATTGTAGTGGAGCGCGTTAGGGTTGATGGTGGAGCCCGGGCCGAACAGCAGACCCTCAAAGTCAAAGTCGGGATTAAAGACGGCCATGGGAGGCGCGGTCCGCAAGCCGCTAAAGTCCATATTGTTGATGCCGTGCGTCTCGAGCTTTGGCAAGCCGTGAGACATGCCTCTGTGACCCATTGCAGCCGACATGCCGGCAAAGTCCATGTTATGCACGGGCAACCCCGCGAGGCTGGGGTGACGGCTGTGTGTGCCAGGAGGCATGCCCCGCGCTACCTGTGCGTTGGCCGCGGCAATCATCTGCATAGCGTTGCCGTCGACATGGCTGATGGTGTTTGCCCTGGGCCGCATCGAGGCAGCAGCGGCATTTGCGGCGGCGGCAGCATTGGGACCAGCGACACTGTTCTTACGTGCGCGGGCTCCAGGTGCAGCACTGCTGGCACTCTCACGACGATTGCGAGGACGTGACGAGGGTGTGGTGGTCTGATGAAGCTTCTGCTGGTGTCTCAGCAGCAGATCGCGACGGGCAAAGCATCTTGTGCACTCGGGACACTCGAAGGGCTTCTCTTTTGTGTGGGAACGCTCGTGACGTTTCAGATGCTCCAATCGGGCGAAAGAGCGCTGACAAGTCGCGCACAC